TTTAAATTTGAAGGAGGGATTAAACAATTTCCAGATAAGCAAAAGCTGAGAGAATTTACCTCCCACAGACCATCTCTACACTGTAATTGGGAGAGACTGCTATAGATGGAAGTGTTCCTAAGGTTTAATAGCTGTCACCAGAGGTAATAAAACCACAGTAAAGAAAGTAGAACAGTTAATTACTAGCAAATGCAAAATTAAATTAACTATCCCCGAAGTCAATCAAGGGATAGACAAAGAATACAGAATATGATACCTAATATATAAAGAATGGAGGAGGAAGAAAAAGGAGGAGGAAAAAAAAAACAGAACCTTCACATGGTGTTTTTACTAGCATATTAAGTGAGTTAAATTAAACTCATAGATAGTAAGGAAGTTAACCTGGAACCTTTGGTAACCACGAATCTAAAGCCTGCAATAGCAGTAAGTACATACCTATTGATAATCACCCTAAATGTAAATGAACTGAATGTACCAATCAAAAGACAGAGACTCACTGAATGGATAAAAAAACAGGACCCATCTATATGCTGCCTACAAGACACTTTAAATCCAAAGACATACACAGACTAAAAGTGAAGGGAAGGAAAAAGATATTTCATGCAACTATTAAGGAGAAAACAGCAGGAGCTTCAATACTTCTATCAGACAAAATAGACTTCAAAACAAAGAAAGTAACAAGAGACAGAGGACATTACATAATGATAAAATGGTCAATCCAACAACAACATATAACCGTTATAAATATGTATGTGCCCAACACAGGAGCACCTACATATGTGAAACAAATACTAACAGTTAAAAGGGGAAATAGAATGTAACATATTCATTCCGGGAGACTTCAACACTCCACTAAATCTGACAGACAGATCAACCAAACAGAAAATAAGTAAGGAGACAGAGGCACTGAACAACACATTAGAACAGATAGACCTAACAGACATCTACAGAACCCTACACTCAAAAGCAGCAGAATACACATTCTTCTCAAGTGTACATGGAATATTTTCAAGAACAGATCATAGATCATATACCAGGCCACAAAAAGACATCTACAGAACCCTACACTCAAAAGCAGCAGAATACACATTCTTCTCAAGTGTACATGGAATATTTTCAAGAACAGATCATATACCAGGCCAAAAAAAGAGCCTCGGTAAATTAAAAAAGATTGAAATTGTACCAACCAGTTTCTCAGACCACAAAGGTATAACACTAGAAAGAAATGACACAAAGAAAATGAAAAATCCCACAAACACATGGAGGCTTCACAACATGCTCCTAAATAAACAATGGATCAATGCCCAAATAAAAGCAGAGATCAAGCAATATATAGAGACAAATGACAACAATAATTCAACACCGCAAAATCTGTGGGATGCAGCAAAGACCGTGCTAAGAGTAAAGTATACTGCAATATAGGACTACCTCAGGAAAACGGAACTATCCCATATGAGCAGTCTAAATTCATAAATAACAAAAACAGAAGAAGAACAAATGTGGCCCAAAGTTAGTAGGAGGGGCCTAATTAAGATTACAGCAGAAATAAATAAGATCAAGAATAAAACAATAGAAAGAAACATTGAAAGCAAGAGCTAGTTCTTAGAGAAAATAAAATAGATAAATCCCTTAGCTAGACTTATTAAGAAAAAAAGAGAGTCTACTCACATAAACAGAATCAAAAATAAGAAAGGAAAAACCACTATGGACACCACAGAAATACAAAGAATTATTAGAGAATACTATGAAAAATTATATGGTAACAATTGGATAACCTAGAAGAAATGGACAACTTTCTAGAAAAATACAACCTTCCAAGGCTGACCAAGGAAGAAACCGAAAATCTGAACAGACCAATTACCAGCAATGAAATTGAACTGGTAATCAAAAAACTACCTAAGAACAAAATCCCTGGACCAGATGGCTTCACCACTGAATTTTATCAAACATTTAGTGAAGATCTAATACCCACCCTCCTTAAAGTTTTCCAAAGAGTAGAAGAAGAGGGAATATTTCCAAACTCATTCTATGAGGCTAGCATCATCCTAATACCAAAACCAGGCAAAGACACCACAAAAAAAGAAAATTACAGACCAATATCCCTGATGAACATAGATGCAAAAATACTCAACAAAATATTAGCAAACCAAATTCAGAAATACATCAAAAAGATCATCCATCATGATCGAGTAGGATTTATGCCAGGGATGCAACAATGGTACAACATTGGAAAATCCATCAACATCATCCACCACATCAACAAAAAGGACAAAAACCACATGATCCTCTCCATAGATGCTGAAAAAGCATTTGACAAAATTCAACATCCATTCATGATAAGAACTCTCAACAAAATGGGTATACAGGGCAAGTACCTCCACATAATGAAGGCCATATATGACAAACACACAGCCAACATTATACTTAACAGTGAGAAGCTGAAAGCTTTTTCTTTAAGATCAGGAAGAAGACAAGGATGCCCATTCTCTCCACTTCTACTCAACATAGTACTAGAGGTCCTAGCCACGAAAATCAGACAACACAAAGAAATAAAAGGCATCCAGATTGCCACGGAAGAAATCAAACTGTCACTCTTTGCAGATGACATGATACTGTACATAAAAGACCCTAAAGAATCCACTCCAAAACTACTAGATCTAAGAACTGAATTCAGCAAAGTTGCAAGATACAAAATTAATACGCAGAAATCTGTGGCATTCCTATACGCTAACAATGAACTAGCAGAGAGAGAAATCAGGAAAACAATTCCATTAACAGTTGCATCAAAAAGAATAAAATATCTAGGAATAAACCTAACCAAGGAAGTGAAAGACCTATACTCTGAAAACTACAAGACACTCATGAGAGAAATTAAAGAAGATACCAATAAATGGAAACACATCCCATGCTCATGGATAGGAACAATTAATATTGTCAAAATGGCCATCCTGCCTAAAGCAATCTACAGATTCAATGCAATCCCTATCAAAATACCAACAGTATTCTTCAACGAACTAGAGAACATCATTCTAAAATTCATACAGAACCACAAAAGACCCCAAATAGCCAAAGCAACCCTGAGAAGGAAGAATAAAGCTGCAGGGATTATGCTCCCCAATTTCAAGCTCTACTACAAAGCCACAGTAATCCAGACAATTTGGTACTGGCACAAGAACAGACCCATAGACCAATGGAAAGGAATAGAGAGCCCTGATATAAACCCAACCATATATGGTCAATTAATATATGATAAAGGAGCCATGGACATACAGTGGGGAAATGAAAGCCCCTTCAACAGCTGGTGTTGGCAAAACTGGACAGATACATGCAAGAGAATGAAACTGGTTTACTGTCTAACCCCATACACAAAAGTAAACTCAAAATGGATCAAAGACCTGAATGTAAGTCATGAAACCATAAAACTCTTAAAAAACAACACAGGCAAAAATCTCCTGAATATAAGCATGAGCAAGTTCTTCCTGAACACATCTCCTCAAGCAAGGGAATCAAAAGCAAAAATGAACTCATGAGACTACATCAAACTAAAAAGTTTTTGTTCAATAGAACAAAAAGGCATCCTACAGGATGGGAGAATATACTTGTAAACGACATATCCGACAAGGCGTTAACATCCAAAATACATAAAGAACTTACACGCCTCAACACCCAAAAGGCAAATAACCCATTTAAAAAATGGGCAGAGGATATGAAGACACAGTTCTCCAAAGAAATTCAGATGGCCAACAGACACATGAAAAGATGCTCCACATCACTAATCAACAGGGAAACGCAAATTAAAACCACAATGAGATACCACCTCACACCAGTAAGGATCACCACCATTGAAAAGACTAAGAACAACAAATGCGGGCGAGGATGCGGAGAAAGGGGAACCCTCCTATGCTGCTGGTGGGAATGTAAGCTAGTTCAACCATTGTGGAAAGCAATATGGAGGTTCCTCAAAAAACTAAAAATAGAAGTACCATTTGACCCAGGAATCCCACTCCTTGGAATTTACCCAAAGAATACAACTTCTCAGATTCAATAAGACATATGCACCCCTATGTTTATTGCAGCACTTTTTACAATAGCCAAAATATGGAAGCAACCTAAGTGTCCATCAGTAGATGAATGGATAAAGATGTGGTACATATACACAATGTAATACTAATTCAGCTGTAAGAAACAAACAAATCCTACCATTTGCAACAACACGGATGGAGCTGGAGGACATCATGCTGGATCCAAGTCCTGGATCCACAACTGATCCAGGTTACTTTATTTCATGAGGCTCAATTTATTCTTATATAAAGAGAATAGCAACAGGACCTACTAATTCTATAGATTAAATAAGATCAGCAGATACAGCATGAAGCAAAATCCTATGCATATGGCGAACACTTAAAAAAATTCATGTTTATTATTCCTACTAAATGAGATCCATGAGATCAAGAGCCATCATCTGTTTTGTTCACCACTGTATTCCCAGTGTCTAGTACAAGTGTCCCAGCATAAAAGACACTCAATAAAAATTTGTTGTACAAATGTTTTTGCAGTTATAAGACTGCACATTTATTCCTATCAAATTCCATAGTAAATCCATTGCTTCAATCTGTGGAGATTTTTTTAATCCTAATGTCATCCAGTATAATTGAAATCCCTTTTAGTATCTCCTACTGATTTTTATATATAAACTTCCATATACAAATTTTTATATACAAACATATCATCAATATATTAATCTGAGATATTAAGGTAAAAAGTATTAACCAAAGACCTACAATCATTAGTTTTATCATCCTTTAATTTATCTTCATTTGTTAACTGGCACTAGTTGAGTACAGATATTCAATTTAGGTTCATTTTCATTCTATCTATATAGTCCCATCTTGTCCACAAAGGTAGTTCAAGTATGAGAACCTTATACAAATTAATTATGCTCATATGTCCTTTACTGAAACTATCCTGAAAGAGAATTTAAAAAACAACTTTGCACTCACCCTTCAATAGCTGGGGATCTATCAGGACGAGTACTTCCTCGAGATCTGTATCTTCGAGTCATTGGCAGCCGTGGAGGCCGACTTGGTCCCCAGAAGTCAGTGTGAGTTTGGTGAATCCTCTCATTGGCTCTATTATCTTGGTCCAGTGGGTTGCTACTTAGAAATGGTCTAAAATCTTGGAAAAACATTGTGTGGTCCAAATGGTCCCAGAGCTGATAAAAACCAGAAATAAACCACATTACTGGTTTCAAGAGCAAGAAAAAGAGGAAACAAGAAGAAATACTGGATAAAAAGAGGAATGATTTTTACCATTTTGAAAACTTCAGCAGTTCCAAACTAAGTAAGTGTATGTTTCCCCAAGAGAATTCTTTCAAGTGCATGCATAGTGGGAATAAAAAAAATACTGAGAAACTTAATTTCCTTCACATAGAAACAACAATGACTATACTGTTTCCTTACCACTGAGCTCATACCCACATGCCTCTGACCAGTTCACCTTCTGAAATAAAAACATGAGCTAAAGGTAATGGACTTCTGTCCTAAGCGTAATCAATCATTAAATCAACAACACACCCTTGTGTTCTGTCACAAACGACATTCACACTTCCACTATAAAATAAAATGGATATATTACATACCGGTAAAGAGCATCACCACTGCAAGTGGAGACAGATGTCTATAAAATACTTCTCTTGATAGAGAAACTGACATTGCTCAGAAAAAGGCAGTGTCATAGCTATGCCAAAGCAATGCGGTATTATCTGATAAGACCATTCTGCTGTACCTTTTATCACAAAAGGGCATTGGGGCAGGAGAGGAGGGGTGGGGAGGGGTGTTTATTGGGTTTGGCTAAGGAATCATTAAACAAAGAGTGAATGGAAAAAAACAAATTACCTCTGAAATCATTTAAGTTTTATGTATTTGCACACCAGTTATTTCAAGAATTCCATAAAATACTACTTATTTCACTCCATCCAACCAAGTAATAACCCTGGTCATATTCTAGTCTTTTTGTTGTATTCATTTTCAAGTGGGAAGAAACAGGCACACTCTCTCCCTTAAAAAAAAAAAAAAGGAAAAGGCAACTGTACATGTTAGACAGGGATAAATGCTATGGAAGAAAAAAAGGCTTGCAATGACTCAATATACAAAGTCTTATCATTCTTTTCAACAGCATGGATGTTTTTACATTTTATGTAGTCTAACATTTTTATTATAATAGACATAGTATTTATGTCATATAAATTAATAAATGAGGTGTAAGAAAATAAAACATATACCCACATAACCATCTCTTAGTTCACATTATCAAAGTCACTAAAACCCTGTGTGTGTTTCAAACCCTCCCCTGCCCCACCTGTAACCACTAACTTCAATTTTGGTTTATCATCCCCTTACTTTTCTTTGCAATTTTACTACAAATTATACATCCCTAAACAAACTGTGCCTTATGGATCATGAAAGTGCTTTATGAAAGCACTTGCTATTGTGGCTCCACTTTCACATACACTTTACGTCCACTTTAAAAAGGTTTTTAAAATCTTTTCTCCTCTCAATAAACATGTGGATTGTTTCCAGTTTTTTGCTATTACAGCCAGTGTGAACATTCTTACATATGTCTTCTGCAGAGACAGAAGTTTCTCTATTAGTAGTCTGTACAACTTTTTATGATCTATACATCTTCAGCTTCACTAGGTAATGCCAAATCGTTTTCCAATTTATACACCCACCAAGAGTGTTTAAGAGTTCCCATTATTGCATTAAATCCTGGCAAACACATAATACAGAATTTTTTTTTAACTGATCTGCTGGTAAGAAAATGAATCTCATTGTGAGGTTTTTTTGTTTGGTATGTAAAAATAAATAGGAGCGTTTATTTAAAACACATATTCTTTGGCTCTACTCCAGAAAGTAAATTCAGTAGGTCTGCAATGAGCCTGAATGACTCACTTCAGCATTTCTTGTATGGAAGGTCTATTAGTAATAAGCTCCCTTAGCTTTTGCTTATCTGGGAATGTCTCAATTTCTCCTTCATTCTTGAAGGATACTTGTACAGATTTAAAATTCTTGACTGGCAAGGTTTTTTCTTAAATATGCCATCCCACTGACTATTTAGCCTTCAATATTAGCCCAACCTTGAATTCTAAGGGCAAACACAATTTGGCTCATGATAAATTCCTGGATTCTATTTCTGGTGTTTTGGGTGAATTTCTGCATCTGTGTTCACAAGTGCATTGGCCTGTAATTTTCCCTTTGTGTGTACTATCTTTCTCTAATTTTGGCAACAGGTTATACTAGCCCCATAAAATGTACTGGGAAGTATTTCTTCTCTTTCATAAAAACATCTTGTAGCACAGAAATAGAATTACTAACTACATGCATTTTGAATTTTGCTAGAGAGTGCCAAGCTGCCCTCCAAAGGTCTATACCAATTTACATTCCTCCAGATTATGAGAGCTTACATTCTCCCATACCCTTGCCAGAATCGTTTAAAAAATGTTTTAATTCTAATATCCAATCTGAAGAGCAAAAAATAATATGTACACTAAAACACCAAAAAGACTTCTCTAAGTACTTGTCAGGTAAAGCACCTTTTCATCTTAACTGCCAATTTATACTTCTTATATCAGACTTACTTATTTCCCCTTGCTTTCTAATGACCCCTCCATCCTTTAGGTCCCAGTCTGAAAAGTGGTCTTCAATGCAAAGTTTTTCTTTACCAAAGTAAATGTGACATTTAAACATCCAAAACTACACTTACCTTCAAAAAGCAAAAAAGTATAAGCAGATCCCTCCATGTTCTCCAACCTCTATCTTACTTTGGCAACTATATGCAACCAATTTCCATACCATATGAATAGTTTCATGACATTTGCTCACAGAAAAAGAACCCTCAAAGCAATCATTATTTTTATTGTAATTAATGTAAAAACTAAGTATTTGAAAAATTTTACTAAAAGAAGAGTTGAGCACCAAGCTCATAATACCAATCATCTCCACTGATAATTACATAACTCATTAACACATCCAATGTATGTAAAATTTCTGAAGGAACCCAAGCTTTAAAAGCAGCTTCCATATCAACATGAAGTATTTTACTGTTTGTTTGGAAACTACAAATTAGTTCAAACTAATAACAGTCAACATATCTGTCCCAAAATAATAGTGCACCCTGATCATAGAATGTAGGATTAAGAAGTGCACCAAGTTTATACCAAATCAACACAAGGATAAAAATAGCTTCAGGTCATTTGCCTCTGAGCAGACTTAGACAAGCATAAGAGCAAAAAACAGCTCATACAACAAAAGTGGGTATTCAGGACGTGGCTTACATAAGTATAAACAAATAACACCATATTTATAAAGTTTTGGTGAAACATTCCAAAGAATCACAGAGACAGTTTATTAGACAACTTTTGTCTTGAAAAAACTGAAAATGTTAGTCTAAATGGAGATTACAAAGAATACTTTTGTAAATATGTGGGCTGAAATATTTATATTTTTCAATATAAAAAAACAGGATGAACAATATCTTTCATTTATCAGAATTTGTTATAAGCTAATGATGATGACACCAGCACCTCTTAAAATATCAGTCTGTTTCTCAAAAAGCAACAGTTAACATATAACCCAGAAATTTCTCTCCTAGTTATATACCCGAGAGAACTGAAAATGTATATATATTCACATAAAAATTTGTACACAAATATTCACTGCAGCATTCTTCATAAGAGCTAAAAAGTGTAAACAACCCAAATATCTATCAACTGATAAGTGGATAAACAAAATGTAGCATATCCATACAGTGGAATATTATACAGCCATACAAAGAATGAAGTGAATGCACCTCAAAAACTTTACGGCAAGTGAAAGAAGCCAGTCACAAACGTCATATAATATATGAGTCCATGTATATCAAATGTACTAAATAGGCAAATTTAAAGATAGAAAATAGATTGGTGATTGCCTAGGGCTGGAGGAATTAAGGAGAAAAGGGGAGTACACAGCTCCTTTTTGGGGTGATAAAAAAATTCTAGAATTAGTGGTAATGGTTGTACAGCTTTGTGAATATGCTAAAACCTCTGAATTATATATATGCTTTAAAGGGGTAAATTATCTGGTATATGAATTATATCTCAAAAAATATTATGGTCTATAGAGATGAGTCAATTGAGGGTGAATAATTTCAATGTTATTAACCTTAGAAATGCAATTTTTAAAAATTCACAGGCAATTTTATGAAAATATTAAATCAAGATAAAGAATACATCTATCACCTCCAACTATTTCCCAGTGTCCCTTGGTAATCTCTCCCTCTTGGCCCTTAAGGGCAAACACAATTTGGCTCATGATAAATTCCTGGATTCTATTTCTGGTGTTTTGGGTGAATTTCTGCATCTGTGTTCACAAGTGCATTGGCCTGTAATTTTCCCTTTGTGTGTACTATCTTTCTCTAATTTTGGCAACAGGTTATACTAGCCCCATAAAATGTACTGGGAAGTATTTCTTCTCTTTCATAAAAACATCTTGTAGCACAGAAATAGAATTACTAACTACATGCATTTTGAATTTTGCTAGAGAGTGCCAAGCTGCCCTCCAAAGGTCTATACCAATTTACATTCCTCCAGATTATGAGAGCTTACATTCTCCCATACCCTTGCCAGAATCGTTTAAAAAATGTTTTAATTCTAATATCCAATCTGAAGAGCAAAAAATAATATGTACACTAAAACACCAAAAAGACTTCTCTAAGTACTTGTCAGGTAAAGCACCTTTTCATCTTAACTGCCAATTTATACTTCTTATATCAGACTTACTTATTTCCCCTTGCTTTCTAATGACCCCTCCATCCTTTAGGTCCCAGTCTGAAAAGTGGTCTTCAATGCAAAGTTTTTCTTTACCAAAGTAAATGTGACATTTAAACATCCAAAACTACACTTACCTTCAAAAAGCAAAAAAGTATAAGCAGATCCCTCCATGTTCTCCAACCTCTATCTTACTTTGGCAACTATATGCAACCAATTTCCATACCATATGAATAGTTTCATGACATTTGCTCACAGAAAAAGAACCCTCAAAGCAATCATTATTTTTATTGTAATTAATGTAAAAACTAAGTATTTGAAAAATTTTACTAAAAGAAGAGTTGAGCACCAAGCTCATAATACCAATCATCTCCACTGATAATTACATAACTCATTAACACATCCAA